CATGGTTTCATGGAGAATAAGATTTTAAATTTGGATTCATCACCTTTTAATATCTGAAACAAATTTCACATCCCAAATGCCTCTTTGAGATTCCTTTACCCCACCTGATATTATGATCATATATTTTGCACACTCAAAGTACAGAATGTGTAAAAATGCTTAAAAAAAAGTAGCTATAAAATGAAAGTGGCATTATCCAAGAATTATTCTCATCCTATATAAAGGAATGCATATAAGTGTGAAGGGTGTAGCAAAAAGATAGAGCTGTTTGGAATACCAGTTGCACCCTGTCTTCTTTGCAATCACAATTAGTGAGACTATCATGAAACTCCACACACAAAGCGACTTGACTCTACTGCCTCTGCTACCCATCTGATGTTCTCTCCCTCATGCTCATTTTATCAAGTGGCTGAGGCTCAGAAATTTGCATAAGCCACAAATTTGTCTCGCAAAATCTCTGAGCTCAAGTTGTTCTTAAATTGTAGCCTTTGGATTGGCCATATTTTCTTTCATGTATTTTGCTTGCGAGACATGTTTGAGTGCATTGTTCCAGGAGGTAAGCCGTTTTCCCTTCATCATTAATTGCAGAATAATGTTGATTCTAAAATTGCATATTATTTTTCGAACAATGTTTCCAAGTGAAATGAGAATCATTATCAAGAGGTTTAACGAGAGTCACACATTACAGAACAAGACTTGCAGAAGTAGGAAGGGAAATATTTCAAAGACTCTGGAACAAAAACTGATGTTTTTAAAATCCATAGAACAACTGCCAAGGCACTTGTGAATAACTTAATCAAGTTTGGAATTGAAATTTCAAAGAAAGGCGGTCACTTGAGATATGAAAACGAATGCGGTCAGATACTAAGAAAAATTCAGCTTTTGAAGAATTTGATTCGTTTTTACAGTTTATCAACCCATTACAGGTTATTTAAGCTAGAAAATATTTTTAGATTGTAAGAATTTTTTTTTTTTTATAATAAAAAAGACTTATTGTAAACATATAAATAACCTTGCACCATGGTGGCAGAAATGTATAGATGTTCAGGGTTTGACTGATTTAAAAACTCTTTTATAAAAAGAAATGGTACGGTTGTTTGGAGTACCAGTGGTACTCTCTCTTTTCAATAACAATCAGTGAGATTACTGTCAAACTCCACCCACAAAGCAACTCCATAAATTTGTCTCGCAAAATCTCAGATATCCAAAGTAAAGTTGTTCTTAAATTGTAGCTTTTGGATTGGCCATATTTTCTTTCATATATTTTGTACATGAGACGCACATGAGTGCATCTTGTTTTAAGAGGTAAGCTGTTTTACCGTTCTACAAAGGAATCCCAAAAATCTAAGCAATGACATTCTTTACTGCTTCTTTGAGCTTATTGGTCTTAAATATCACTAAGAAATTTAAGTTTCAAACTTCCTGCAATTAGTAATCCAGCACTAATTGCCATAAAAGCAATTTCACATTTTCCAGGGTTGCCTCAAAGACCAACCACACCGACTGTTTCATGACACTAGCTGTTGCATCAGCTGTCCTTTGAGCACTTTCAAACATTGCCAAGGCATTTCTTGTGTTTTGTGCATTTTTATTATAACCTGCTGATATTTAGCTCCACTTAATGAATACAGGAAGTGCTTCTTGTGGTGTGAAACACAAACACCACGCATTTTCTATAACAGATGGAAGTCTACAGTTTTTTCAGAACTTCTAAAAAATACTTGAGTAGCATATCTTTGCAAAGCTTCTGTTTTATTTATACAGTATTGGCTTATCTACAGTTCATGACAAAGAAACTGAGGAAAATTGCTCAATACAGGTTTGACTCTATTGATTTAGTTCTGTACGGCTTATCAACCCTTTAAAGGCAGAAGATTTTTCTTTTTTTTTTTAGATAGTAAAAAAAAACTTATTTTGGAGATAATAATAGTTTAATAATGCAAGTCTTACTAATTAACCCATATTTGTGGAGAAATGAGTTAGTTTCATACCTTTCCTTTGCACATAATTGAATATAACAAACCCAACGAGAATTGGAACTTGGCTCTCTAATTAACAGTTTGAAGCCATTATCCATTACACCTGCTCCACATTCAAGCTTGCAGCATCTGGTATTTCTCAAGTGGTCACCCGTATAGGCTCGATGTTGCTTAACTTTGGTGATTATATTAGAACCTGTTTGTCAACCTGGTACGACCCATAGCAATAAGAATATTTTCCAATTCAAAAAGTTTACTATTGGCCAGGGTGATGTTCTGAGGAGTTGCAATGAAAAACAACTCAAATCAAGATGAAAAAGTCCAAAATTAATATTAGTTGACAATGTTTCATCTAAGAAATACAAATAGCATGACAGCAGTTATCTCCCTTGAATACAGATAACACTATTAGTACAGGTTGGCCATCAGCAATCAATAATATAACTGATTTCCAGAACAGCAATTTAAAGTTTCCCTTGTTGATGCACAGACCTGCCATAACTGGTTGGTGGCACTGGCTACTGCATCAGTTGTTTTTTTTTGGGGGGGGGGTTCATAAATGGCATTTCTAATTGTCTTTTGTGCATTTTTATTTTTACCTGTTGATGTTTAGCCCCACTTATGGCTTCATTGAATACAGGAAATGTTCCTCAGGGTGTGAAGTACAAACACCATCTGTTGTCTCTAACAGATAAGATGGAACTTCTGAAAACACTTGAGTGGTGTGGCGGTGTAAGCCAAAGAAATAGACAAAAATAGTGTAACCATCAAAATCACTTATCTAAATTGTGATAGTCAACATGTAATATGGATTTTTTTCAGGGGGAATAAATAGTTCTTATAGGTGAACTGCATTATAATGCATTTCAGAAGATTTTTTTTTACTCTGATGGTTAGTCAGTTATGTGCCATGTGTGATGCATGCTTATGCGATCATATAACTTTCAATACATAACTGACAAGGCAGATTTTTTCCCTGCAGTAGGTTGCCATTTCTTTCTGCGGTAGACCAGCTGCCATCAAAGGCTATAGAACCTGGTCTGTCCTGCTATTTACCCATAGCTGGGGGGAGAAGTGGATTTATACCTTTCCCAAGGATATTAGCACATAAGTGAATGTAATGGATTTGACTGGAATTCGAACTCGGCTATCCGATTCCTCAATCCGAGCCGCCATCCATTACTCCACTAATGCATAAATAACAATTATTTTTACCAGTAGTAACCATGAAATTTTCATTTTTCCAGCTTGAATTTTGTTTTCTTTCTTTTTCTTACTGAAATCAAACAGCATCACTGTTATGTTTTTTCTGTCTTTCCGCAATCAATCTGGAACAGTCCATTATTTATGGAAGTATTAGCAGGGCATTTCCTTTCTTTTATTCTTTTTCTCACTGAGACCAAGTAACATCTCTGTCTTTTCCATCTTTCCACACAATCAAAATGGAATATGAGGCCAAGTAAATAAATTTAAGGGAGGTTGAATATTTAAAATTCTTTTGGGTATCAAGTGATGAAACACTATTGCTGTAGTGTGCGCATATATATATATATACACACACACACACACACACTTGTGCACATATAGATCAACCATTCACAAATAACTAATATTAATGAATAACGCTAAAATAGGACTCCATACAAAAAAAAAAAAAAAAGACTTAAAATTCTGTGTTAATTCTTTGTCTACAATCTGCTACACTTTGGAAAGCTGAAAGTTTAAAAGACATATAGAGATAGCACATAGCAGTTATTGGGATCAAGGCCATACAAAAAGGATTCATTATATTGAAAATGAGAAATTCTATGTCAGTTGATTGTAATGATCATCTTTTCCAAATTATGAATAATCATTTTCAAACAAGGAAGAAATTCTGTCAAGAATTGTCCAGTGTTATTCATAATTTAGAAAAGACTGATTAAAATTGTCATATTTCTTAGTATTTGCTTTAAAGAACATTTACTGTCTAAATACACACACACACACACTACAGTTCAAAAGTTTAAGCCACTCAGAGTTGGATGAACTAAACAGAAGAGGGAAAAAAAGAATATGAAAAAGAGTTCTTAGTGTCATTGAAAAAAGAATGGAATCAATTATCAAACTTTGAGAAAATTTTGCAACAAATGTCCCCCCTCCCCCCCAAAAAGCTGCAGTAATCAAGGCTAAAGGAGGATAGTTTGACAAGAGCAAAATTTAATCATAAAATGCTTTTCTTTTTCTCATGATAAAATTTCTAAACAAAAACCCTTTTTTTTTTTTTTTTTTTTTTTTTTAACCATGTATAATAATTTCTCTTATTTAAAGTACAAACTACTTTGGGGGGAGGCAATTAAAAAAAAAATAACTATAGGTTCTGCAAACTTTTGGACAAGAGAGAAATAAATATATGTGTGTGTTTGTTTCTTTTATGACACTGTGAAATTAATTTTTTTTTTTTCATTTGTGTATAACATATAATACAACCTATAGCCAACTTTATAGTTGCTTATTTCCAGTAAATACCAATTTGCTGTTTTTCCAAAAATGGGCCATAACACCCAAGCAACAATACTATAGCCATGCAGCAAAATGTTAAATATTTTTGGGTGTTTCCTCAGATATTTTATGAAATGATGTATGTTGGTTAGATTTTATAATATGTCAATGCTTGTTAAGCTATTTAATGTTGAATTTTCTATGGGGGAACATGTTGCAAATCAAACTCACTACTCATCTAATGAAATGGTCAAACCAAACCAACCAAGGACTAAATCTCCAGATACTGTTGATTAAAACAACCACTTGTCTTCATCTTTGTTGTTTTTATCATATTTTGGCCATTGTGCCAAATAAATCATCCTGTTTAGCAATTGATTATTTTCTTTCTTTATTTTTTAAATTCTAACTCTGCATTATGCTATTAATAATTTTCAGGTCTGTTTATTTTGTTTTGAAAAAATGATTTTTTTTTTTTTTTTTTTTTTTAACCCTTTTGTCTTTTTTCCTCTATAGCTTCTGTTCCTCCTGTTTCTACAGTTCCCAATGGCCATCTACAAGGTGCAGAGAGTCCACAGTCTCAGGTCGCAGTGCGTCCCGTCTACCCCCGAACCCAGTACAACACACAATATTCTACTCCACCCAGGGTGCACGCTGGTGATGTAACACAACCTAGCTCAAGTGGGTATCATTTTATCCAACCCTTTCACTTTTTGTTTTGTTTTATTTTCCTTTCTGACACTTGCACTTAAGGGTTTGTTTGTTTTTCTTTTGTTTGTTTTATTTTGTTTTTTTATTTTTTTTTTTTTTTTTTCATTAATGAACTGAAGAGCTTTGTGCAGAAGACAAAACTAGCAAGGGATATATTTATCCAAATTCTATACAATGTTTAGCTGGGGTAGTTTGAAATTAATATTAGCTCTCCAGATCAATTTATAGCTGATATCCTCCAACTTGAAGTTTCTACTTGGTCACAGACACATGGTTCGTAATTCCATCTGGGTAGGTAGGGGGAGGGACCCTCTACTCTACTCTGGCTGTTGACTTCTAGGATATCTTCTGCTCAGTGATGCCATGTCATCACTACACAGGATGCATACAGAGCTATGAAGCCCAGTCTACCTCATTGTGCTAGATATCCGTTGACTCCACAAGAAGATTTAGCTACCTTCCTCACATAAAAAATTAGTTTCTAATGATCTGACAATGTTGCAGGTACCAATAGCAATTGTAAAATAACCTGATATAATATTTAAATATTGCATTGCAACATTATCTGAGACATCCTCAAAAGGAGAAGTGCCAAGAAGGCTTGAGCAGTTTTTGAGCAGCTTCCCACAATAAACTATGACCTTGTGTCACATTCTGTAATGACATGTTTTTTGTATAGATAGATACTTCAAGATTATGGCTCTGGCAAAAAAAACAAACTACTGAGACAATATCTGTTTGGTTAATGAAGGCCAGGGAACCCGCTAATATTACCATTATCTTTAACAACACATTCAGAAATGTCTCTTGGCAGAAAATTGTCCTAGAGGTTGAAACAAGATATAAAATAAAAGCTTTTTTTTTTTTTTCATACACTTTCAATTAATAATCAGTTTTAATACTAGTGATAATTTACACACCTTTTTTATAAATTTGTATAAGGTTAAATTTTATCTTACACCAAAACAAAACACCCTGTATCATTATGTAATGAATTTATTATCTGCTATATATATATTTCATTGAATATGACAGACAAGGTCCTTTGATTTAGTTTTTTATACAATTGCTCATATGATCTAATAATTCTTTTCTTTTCTCAAGATAAAAACTGTCCAAATGGTCTTTTTATCCAAGCTTTTTTGGCTATACATTTAGCCATTTTCAAGGTTGAAATATATTAACTCTTAACAAGAAATAGTTTGTTGCATGTATGTATTTACATAATGTTTTCATTTTCAAAATATGGTCAAAATATTGTCCATGTTCATAGTTAATATATTTCAACCTTGAAAATGGCTAAATGCATAGCTGAAAGTGCTCAGATAAAAAGAGCAATTGGACAGTTTTTATATCATTTATCATGCAAAAAGAAAAACGCTATTAGATCACATGAGAAATTGCCTAAAAACTTAATCAAAGCACCTTGTCTGTTGCCTTCAATGAAATGTACATGAAAGAAGGATTGCTGCCTAAATACACACACAAAATATATATATATATATATATATATATATATAGTGATTTATGAAGCCTGGCTTAGTTGTAGCCAAAGGCCAAGATTAAGGAGTAGCCAGTGAGAATCCAACCCACTACAATCATAATTGATCTAGCAAGACAAGCTTGATAGTCATTACACTATACTGAAATATATATATATATATTCTATATGAATTAGAGTAGATATAAAAAAAAAATCATTTTGAAATTCAAAAAAATTTTAAAACCTCCAGCACCGATTGTTCGTGTGTACATGTAGTCATACCAACATAACAAATTTAGTTTGATGAAATCCTGAAAAACGAAATGCATCACAATTAAACTTTTTTCCACTTCATCATACAACTTCCGCAATATTGCTCTTCATATATAAAAAAATATATATCATTATCTCATTCATTTTAAAACACATTACATAAGCAGTAGCATTTTTAAATGCAGGTTTTAATAAATATTTTATCTGTCTATTTTTAATTCAAATTTGTTAAAATTTCATATATAATCTATTGATAATTTCCTTTTTTTTTGTAAGTTCATTTGTATAGAAAGATTTTTTTATCTGCAATGTCAAATTTCAGCTGTAAGTTAGCAGAAAAAAGTATCAGTATTGACATTTAAAATAAACAATCTTGGTTTCTAAGAATAAACTTTATCCTTCTTTTTAAAAACAAAAAATTATTTTTTTTTATTTATTTTTAAATATAAAAATTTTTATACAATTCTCTAATTTTAAACCTGCCTACATTATAAGATTTTTGCAAATCTTTTACATAAAACTACCAAATTATTTAAACAAGTAAAAATAGTAAGTTTCCTGAATTAATTTTATTTAATATTAACATTATAAAATTCTTCAAATGTTTATCTCATAGTCAGCTCTATATAGCCATGTCCAGAGTAGGGAATTCAAGTGGACTTTAATATATATATATATATATATATATATAAAAAAAGACAATAGGAAAACTGTATGTAGTTTTAACTGACACATTTCATCCCCTGCAGTTTTTTTTTTTTTTTTTTTTTTAAGGCAAAACATAA